CTGATAAGTTTTATGCACGACGCAATATATTTTATGGATTGGTCAGTCTTCGACCACTGTTCGACACAGCAGTAAACGATAAAGGCTTCACCCGCGTCGAATAGGGCGTGAGTCCGCAGCCGCGTCACGTATTGCACCCAAACTTACGCCTAAACATTACTGTGAGCCATTTGCTCCCTACTGAACAATCGTTATTGTGAGGGGCGATAGGAGGGTAGCAGGGAGCTTGTACTCTTTACCAGCACTCTGTTACCCTCCTATGGCCCCATATCTACCAGCTGTCTGCTACCCTCCTATCGTCCCATTCCCTCTATCAGATTACAGGTTCATGACTCCTGTATCTGAAGGTGTGTAGCGGTTTTTGAATACAAAAGAGTTTTAGGCTATACATATTTATTATAATAACATCAAAGTAAAGGGGAAGGGAACTTGGACGGGAGTGGAAGGTCGGGGGTGGACCGTCACATCGTGAGTACTCACTACCACTGTCCTCCTCTCGTCTTCCAGTTGCCTTGCGCCAGCTTCCTGCGATACCGTAATCTCGGGCCACGCCCATCCAGGTCGTGAACCCAACACCTCCACTCCCGGACGCTGCTGGTCGCTGATGGACGCTGGTAGACGCTGCTGGTCGCTAGACCGATACCTTTGTTCCCTAGCCCTCGAGACGCTGCGGGTCGCTGGTGTATGCTGATGCTAGCTGTGGACCATGGTAGACGCCAGATTGATATCTATACCTTCCTAGACGCTTCCGGACCTCGGAACGCTAGTGGTCGCTGGTGAACGCTGGTGTACGCTACCGCGAAGTATGAACACAGCCTTACATTTTGCAACAGCGCCCAATGGTATAGAGAGCAACGCTGCCACAGACAAGTAATGATGGAAGCCGACAGAGTGTCTTGAGAGAGTATAGGACAATAGGAAGGTGGGTGTTACCTAATCACTGGGAAGTAACGCTCCACACTGTCAGCAATAACTGTGTAGGCACAGTAGGATGGAACGCTCACACTCAGTAATAAAGTGAATAGGGCCGGAATGCTCTGCTAGTTCTGCAATTTCGCACGCAATGCCTTAGCCTGCTACCCGATTGAGCAACTCAAGTAAGATCTCTCTTCCTCCTGCCTATAATCACGGTAGATTGTTACTTTGCAAAGACGCTTATAGTCCAATTCGCTGCGGACGGAAGGGCGTGTTGAGCAGGACGAGTTTGGTGGTACCAAACCCGTTCTCCACCAAGTGTTGAAGAGAGCAAGCAACAAGATTGTATCGTATCGTTCGTATCACTCGTTCTCCACCAGTTGTTGTCGCATACCCGCTTCC